TTGCTTGGTCCATATTCGTGAGTTGCTCCAAATCGTGGCCAAACAGTCGTTCATAACCTAAAAATCTGAAGTGACCTAATAAATTCTGAGGTAGGCTATATACTCTCTGTGCGCATACTTAATGAGGGACCATATTATTTTTTTTTTGTCCCATACAAATTTTGCATGATTTTGTTTTGGGACTTCATACAATGTGAAAAGGCCAAAGAAAAAATGACAAATATGAAAACTACCAGAGGCATTTACCCTATTAGTATTTGGTGCAGTTCCTGTCCTATTCATACCTGCACGAACACACACACAAATGAAACCAAAAAACCACCCCCCCCCCAAAAAAAAACCCAAAACAAAAACAGAAGCAAAGATGAAGAAAAGGTGGGCCTTGAATGACTCAGGCCTAGCCTTGGCCTTTAGTCTTTGCAGAGTTTGCAAGGAAAGAGTATGACGGATCCCGAGTCCACACAAGGCCTGCACCAACACGCGTTTTGCAGAGAGTTTTCTAGATCTAGAGGTAATCAAAAATTTAGAATACTAAAATTAGCTTCCAAGTTCAGTTTTTGTCCCCTGGCCTGGTGTTGCCTTCACCGCCCCCCCTCCCCCGAGTGTATCTTTAAAAAAAATAATCCTCCCCCCATTCCGGAGTCCTATACTAGACGCAGCGCTCAGACTTTGAATGAACTTTGGTGACCCCTACAAGTGCAGGTGCTCACAATGTGATGATGGAACGCGCAAGTTCATTGACCGGTCACAATGGCGAACCCGACAAGACGCTTAACTATAACTTTTTTTTCTTTTCTTTTTTTTTTTCACAAGTGACAGCACAGGACAAATATTGATTTATTTTCAAGGCGACACAGCGTTTGCCATGCACAGCCTGCATGTTGTTACAATTAATCTTGCGTTATCAAACTACTACCAGCAAATTTCTGGGTGGTAACGAAAGTGAAAGTATATCTTGATTATCCCGATCAAACGTCGGTATCACACCCGCTTGCCACCATAGCCGCCTGTCTGCGTGAAGAAACATTTTACATACTCTCGAGGGAGCTGAATGAATCACAATCGCGACCAGCAAAAATGAACTTTTGGGCATTATCGGATTTGGTTTTCAAATATTTGATAACTTTTTCAAATTCCTGGGGCCTGGCAGTCACCCTGCTGAATCCTGAAGTCGGTGGCTTCATCTCAAAATCGGTGGATCGGTAGTTTGACCCAAAAGTCGGTGATCTACCGATTTTTTCTGTAGGGTTGGCAGGTATGTATGCCATAGATCTAAACTGACAATTTAACATTAACACAGACAGTAGGCCTACACAACACAATACGAATACACACACACGTACTTGACGTAAATAATACATAAAAATAAGATAAAAAACTTACAACAGTAGGCCTATAGATCCTACAGTGTACAGTACAGCTGAGTAGATCTAGATCTGCATCTAGATCTAGATATCTAGATCTAGATCTACATTCTAGATCTAGATCTAGATTTAGATCTAGATCTAGATCTAGAATATAGATCTACACTCTGCTGTGGAGTCATCATTGACATTTGTCAAAGTTAGATAATGAATATGAATAAGTGGCAGAGATAAGTTGTTTCTCTACCAATTTAAATCCTGGCTCGCTAGAAGATTTCTAGATCTAGTCTAGCGAGAACATCTAGAATCTAGACTCTAGACTATCGATCTATCTAGATACAGATAGATCTAGATCTATCTCTACGATAATCATGTACGACAAGTAAGAATGTTGAAACGAGAGAAAGCAAAGGCAGGAGGAAGGACAAGGCTGACCTCCCCGTCACTGCCGTCAGGCGTCAATCGAGGTAGTCGAGGAGAGTGATTTTCACCTTGATCTAACCCTCAGACTAACAGAAAAAAATGAAGTTGGCATATGAATACAAAGAAGCTGATTCACAAACACACAAAAACCTAAAAAAGATCGACATCAAGTCACATTACTGAGAAAGCCTGTTGGTAAAACAACATCCAGTCACGTCAGTCCAGCATTCGCCTGTGGTTCACACAGTTCAATCAATGTCCTGTTGTAGCCTAGTTGTTCTCTGTTCGAAATTCCCTCCGCAGGTTACCGCACAGGAAGCCGTAAATAAACGGAGCGACGTGCCTGTTTGGGGGGAGGGGGGATTATCACTAAATTATTAGCCTATACATTTTTTACGACTTTCAAATTCTAGCTAAAGTATCTTCTCATATTCCCGGCTACTTATAGATCAAACTGACATCCCTGTCACGATTAAATAAATATTTTAGACTGAGG